TCCGGTCCCACAGTGGCAGCAGTGGGCCGGGGGGGGTTAAGGGAAAGCCTTACGGATGAGCTGAAAAATGTTGGCTGCGGATGTGGGAACTGGACCGGGCAGCCCACTGCCCTAGCCAAGAGGGTGGCTGGATTGTTGCATCTGCCTGGATTGTTGCATCTTGAAAAACTCACCAGGCAGCAACAGCCTTTCTCAAGTCCTTGTAGAGTGGGGGTGTCGTGCATCCTCTAGGGCACTGGTTGTGTAGCACCAGTGTTGCTCCTTCCGTGAGGAAGGAGTCTTTATAGGCTTGAACAGCCCAAGTGGGATCCTGGCCAGCTCCCACCCTCAGCACGTCTCTGCTGTTCTGCTGCCTTGTTGTTCTTTAAGCCTGCCCCTCAGGAGAAGCTGCGGGCTGCTTTGGGGGCTCTCAGAAGGCCCAGCAGATTGGGATGTGTGTACGCAGATCACTGGAGACAAGGGGAGGGCGGTCGAAGAGCTCCCCCTCCAGCGTTGCTGGCCCTGAAGATGGCTGAGTGAGCAGGAGCCTCTGCAGACTGGCATGGCCTGTTGGCAGGAGGAGCAATTGGGCATGAGGGTGGACTGGGGGGCCACCTCCTCAGTCACCCTGTTAATCCAGCTTTTCCTGTTCCCCCGATGCCTTAAGGCAACACACTAGCACACTGCTCTTTCTCTTCCTTTGCTCCACTGCGTTGAAAATCCAAGGAAATAGTGCAAGAGAAAATATGGTGCTGGTCTCTACGTGACCTTCTCAGGTCGTGGAAAACAAAAAATCCTGTTCATTGAGCCATCTCACTTTCAGAAGGCATGAAAAACACACAGTACATTTTTTAAAACCTATATCTAAACAGAATTGTAATGGATAAGCCTCATGGTGCTATTTAGCATCTGGAGTACAGTAAATGGAAGAAGGAATAAAATCAGCTTCATCCTTGGTGTCCAACGCAACCATTGAATCAGGGAGAGCGCTCGGGTGATGCCTTGACTATGTGTCATCAAGTCGTTCTCGTCCTCTTCTTCTCTTTCCTTCCACCTTTCCCAGCATTAGAGCCTTCTGCAGAGAGCTTGATCGGTGTGGTGTGTCCAAAGTAGGATAGTTTGGGCCTCCAGTAGGAACTCTGGTTGATTTGTCTGATGACCTGTCAGTTGGTTTTCTTGGCTGTCCGTGGTCTTCTCGGGAGTCTTCTCCAACCCCAAAGTTCAAAGACATCAATACTCTTCCTAGCTTGCTTCTTCAAGTCCAACTTCCACTTCCATAGAGGGTCACAGGGAATACCACGACTTGCATGACGCTGAATTTTGTAGGTAGAAGAGTCACCCATGATGGGCAGCCCTGGGGCTAAGGAGGCATCTTGATGAAAGCTAGAAGAATGTCCGGGTGGGCCGGGAGGCAAAAATAAAGTTTGATGCTGCAAAGATATATCTACTGTTGGTGTTCTGTTTCAAGGTAGTAGGCACAGTTGCCAGGGAGCAAAAGCAGATAACAGCAGACAAGTTTCAAAACAAAGACTTATCAAGAAAAGTACCGCTTGTAGTTGGAGAACCAAAAGACTCCTCTAATTCCAAGACCAAAAGTCATGAAGCCAAACTGGGCAGTCAGCCAATCCGGAAGTCAGGAATTCAGGATACACACAAGACACAAGCTCGGTTTTCAAACGGTTGTTTTCCAACAGAGAGTGAAGGCAAAGCCAGCTACGTACATCTCTCTGCTGGCAGCTGGCTGCAGCGATTCCGGCCTCATCATTTGCCTTGTGAGGAGTCTCCTTGATTGACGCTGCTCTGCTCGCCTCTGGGTGCATCTGGATCTGGGGCTTGGGGGTCGTGCCTCATCATCTGACTGCTCCAGCTGAACAGGAGAGGCCTGTGGCAGATCAGCCGGAGCAACATTGTCAGAATCAGTTTCAGAGCCAGACTCTGAATCGTGGCTCATGACAACTGGAACCTGGACTGTAAGAACCATGAATCAACTGCTGGTGCTGTCAGAGCACAGGTGTGATGTCTGATCGTCAGGAAGATGGGGCAGAAGCTATGGTTGGCTTACCTAGATGGATCATTCCTGACGTTTTGTCATTCTCACCTGTGGCGTAATGAGGGATGGATGGACTGAGGCAATTGTGTTGATATGGAAGAGTGGCTGACTTTGGCGCTGCCCTTGGCCTCCTCTGGGTGAGAGCTGGGGAAGGGGAGTGATGGGGAGTGGCAAGCCTTGGCTCTTCCACCTGGGCAGAACCAGGTGGTTTGGGGTAGGTGTCCCTACCTGCTCGTTGAAAGCAGAGAGCAGGTACTAGAACATGCAGATGAACGGATTGGGGGGGGTTGTCCTGGGACCTGGGTTGCTCGGGGCTCGTGCAGAAGTGGCTGGGAATCAGAGCACCCCTCTGGATGAGGGGGATAGGATGATTGGGATGGGGCCCTTTCACCAGGGGGAGGGATGGGGGCAGGCAGAAACATCACTGGGGTCGGAGGCAGAGGAGATATGGCGGGAGATGCGGAATGGGCCTCTCTTGACGGAACATGGCCTCGGTGCCTCGTACCAGCCCCCAAACTCTTCCCCAGTGCCTGGTCACTGGACCTTCAGAGTCACTGGGCTTTTGGCAGTTGCTGCGAAATGCCAGGTCAGCCTGTCATGAAGCCTCTCTCACCTGTGACCTCCTTGTGGATGAGAGGGTTGGCCTGGCATATATTACTGAGACCTGGACGGTTGTGAGTTGGGGGTTGTCCTCTCAGAATGTGCCCGCCTAGGTTTTGAGTGTGGCAGCTGCCAAGACTCTGCGGAAGAGGAGGTGGAAGAGCTATGGGCATCCAAGGTGCTCTGGGGGCTTTCAGAGGAACTTCTCCACAGGTTACCAGATGTGAGACTATTTGAGAGGCTGGCTCTAAGGTTCAGGTGGGACTGTTGCTGCTGAACCACCCTCCCTGCTATGTAGCAACTTCCTTACCTGAGTTGCTCAACTCTGTGTCCAGGTGGATGGTGGAGTTCTCTAAGCAGGCACCATGGCAACCATGGGCCTGACCCAGGTCACCAAGGGCCTGACACAGTGGTGGTCACATGTTGGGTCTGTTTCTTGTCTTGAGGCAATGGTGAAATGATTTGGTTTTGGTGAGGCTGTGAGAACAGCCACCTAGGTTTAAGATTCGTGCCCCTCCTGGTTAGCTAAGTCTTCCTGGGAGACAACGTGCGGTTGAGTGCAGGTGGTGGTAAATTCATCCTTGCAAGCCACGATGACCCCATCGCCACTTAAGGAGACCGCGACTCACCTGCTCCTCAAGAAACCATTGCTGGGCCCAACTGTGCGCCTTACGGAAAGTTGTTGGGAAGGTAGTTGTGCTGCAGCTGGCAGGATCAGCGCGGGAATGGTGCATTCCTTCTGGCCCTTTTTTGTATTACACTGGCCTTCAGTATCGTGGTATTCTTCTGGACCAACTCTGGGGTTGGGAGTGGGAGACCCAGTGTTTTGGTAGTTCTCCTCCTCCCTTCATGGCCAGTTCCAGTCAGTGTCAGTAGGAGGGGAGAGATCTAGTGTTGGACCACTACTTTATGGGGTCCCTCAAGGCTCTACATACTCTCTGCTCTTACTTAATATCTACACAAATCTGCTGGGAGAAGTTATCTACCAACATGGGTTCAGTAGCAAAAGTATGCAGAAGAATTGGGGACTTCTATCCTTTAGTTCTGGATGGTATGCCATCTGGGGGTCCTCCAGGCTTCTCATCTCCTGCCTGAAGAGGGTGTGACCAGGAAGGCCTGTACACAAATCCATCTTGTGTACCTATTGTGCCTGTTCTTGGATCGGGAGCCTCCACTCACAGTCACTCATGCCTTAGTCACCTCTTGGTTGGACTATTGCAACACTCTCCTTGGGGCTATGGCTGAAGACCACCTGGAATTTGCAACTGATACAGAAGGCAGTGGGGCAGGTAGTTGCAAGAGCACCACAGTAGGCCATGTATCGCTACTGCTCTCTCAGCTTCCCTGGCTCCCAGTAGGCTTCTGGGTGCCATTCAGGGTCCTGGTTACGATAAAGGTCCTATAAAGCCTTTCATGGCACAGGATCACTTCCACGTGCGGTCGCCCCTCTCCGGTTGCATTTGTCCATCTTATGAGATCTGACAGGGTGGACAAGTTCCAGGTCCCCTCCGTAATGCAATCCGGTGAGACCCTGCAGGCACGCCTTCTCTGTCAGGGCACCTGCCTTCTGGACCCCTCGTCCCCCAAGAATTGGACGGCCCTGACCCTGCTGGCCTTCTGCAAGACCTCGAAGACCACGTTTTCCCCCTGGGCATTGGACTAGGGTGACAGATGAACTGGTCTGAAATGGTGTTGGAATAAACAATTGTGGGCTGCCCTTAATCGTATCGTGTCTTTTTGTTCTCTGTTGTTTTACTTCGTAAGGATTTGTAAGGTTTTAATCGTATGTTACCTTTCCGGAGTTGCAACTGGTGAGTTGGGTGGCTGTATAAATGGATTAAATTAATAAATAAAGCCATCTTGCTGGATGCTATATAGGTTGGCATCTCCTGCAACTTTGCATGCTTGCAAGTTTAGTATTGTATAATTCAGTATTAAGCTGAATGGAGAGCCATTTCTCTGCATTGCTTTAACGTGGGTTCCTGGCGGGAGGAAGGGGTTGGTGACCTCAAACGGTGGGTCTCTAAGAATTCTGTCTTGTTTAATGCTCTTTAGGGTAATACAATTTGCAACATTTTCGATGGATTCAAATAAGGACTGGATTCATTTTTTGCATACTGTCAAAAATTGGGCACAAACTGAACCAAATTCTCTGCGTGAGCACGTGCGTGAGAAAGCTGCTACTGTTCTTCTGTGGGACAAGAACATTTAGCAACCCACTTCTTTTGTTTGTTGAATATGAACTTGCAAGAAAACAATAACTTTGGAGCCATTAGAGTTTTGCAGTGAAAAAGGCCAGGAATTAAGCTTTAAAGCAGCCTGCACGATGTATGGGGCCCGTGGGCCACGTGCCGTCCCCCCAGCAGCCTTGTGTGGCCCACCGGCCTCCTTGGAAACTCAGCAAAGCCACTGCCGCCACCGCCACCGGGAAGGCTCTCCTGCTGCCACCTAGTCTTCACAGCCACCCCCGCCCTGAAAGACCCTTTGCCAAGCGCCTCCGGGCCTCCCCGACACAGCCGGCCCCATCGCCGCTGCCACACCGCTAGCCACCAGACAGCTGCCTGGTGCGCCAGCTGTTCCTTTGAGACCCACGGGTACGTTTAATGTACCAGTGTGGCCTTTCCGCTCTATGAGTTGTGCCGGCCTGCTCTGAAGCAAACCGATCTATTTACAAAATGTTCGTGCCCACCCAAATCCGTTACAGAGTGAAAAACAATAAAAGGTAAGCAGAATAAGGCAATTATTAAAACGACTCCAGAAGCTATGAAACTGTCAGCCACTTTGTAATGGAAAGTGTGAAATCAGGAAGAAGGTGAAATCTTGGCTCTGCCAGATGGCCTGGGGACCTGATGGGGGCTCGCATTGTTGGAACTGGCAGATTCTGCCCCCTCCCCCCGTCCTCTTGAATTATACAGTCTTTTTATGTGCGTAGTCTTTTTATGTAGTATTATTTTTTCAGTAATTTAATATGGATATTTATTTTTACTGTTTTTAATGTTTGATTTTAATTGTGAGCTGCCCAGAGTCACCCTCTGGGGGAGATGGGCGGCATATAAATGAAATAAATGAAATAAATAAATAAAAAGGGGGCTTCTTCAGCTGTCAAACTGCATCATGCACAGCAGTTCACCCGAGCCTGGCCTTGGGGCTCACCCCTCCCACCCCCCGTCTCAGAAAATCACACACAGTTGAACCGTTGCCTACTTCATGCCAACGTATCAATTCTTTTTTTATTTTGGTGCAGCAGGTCCTTCATACCTAAAGGGCTATGAATTGCAATAAATCGAAGTGCCAGTTTCTCCTGAATTTGTGACTATCGTCCCAGGAGTTCTGAACCGCGGAATGACGGGCTTCTAAGGAGTGAACCTTTAACATCACTTTAGAAGTCCTGATTCCAATAACAGAGACCCTGTTCTGGGGAGGGCAGCCTGTAACTCCCAGCCAATCACCTTCAGGCCCTGTATCTGGAGATTCGCGTCGAACACCCCGCGTCTGCTTCCGGAGGTGGTATCCTTGTTGCTCTGTGGGTCCTCATTGCTGTCAGGATGTTCAGAAGAAATTCTTCCTCCTCCAAGCCTGGCGGACCACCCTCTCACGGATCTCCTTGGTTCTGATGCCGTACACGAGGGGGTTGAGGGCGGGAGGGAGCAGCAGGTAAAGGTTAGCCAGGAGGACACGTACATGGGGGGCAACCTTGTGCCCAAAGCGGTGGGTCAGGATGGAGAAGAGGCCTGGCACAAAAGCAATTAGGATAACACAGATGTGAGAGCCACAGGTGTTGAAGGCCTTGAGTCGTGCCTCCCTGGGCAGCTGGAGAACCGTCCGCAGGATCATGCCGTAGGACAGGCAGATGAGCAGAATGTCTGAAAGCCCCACGTAGAGGGCCACGCTCAGACCATACAGGCTGTTGACAGTGACGTCCGTGCAGGCCAGCTTCACCACGGCCATATGCTGGCAATATGTGTGGGGCACCATGTTGCTTGCACAGAATGGCAGCTTTGTGGCCAGAACTGGGAGTGGCATGATGAGAGCAACGGCCCGGGCCACCACAATAATTCCAATCTTGAAAAGCCTCTGATTGGTCAAGATGGCTTCATAGCGCAGCGGAGAGCATATGGCCACATAGCGGTCAAATGCCATGGCAACAAGAACGGTAGTCTCCATCACAGAGAACGAGTGGATGAAAAACATTTGGGCCAAGCAGCCAGCAAAGCTGATCTCCCTGTCAAGGAACAGGAAGGAAAACAGCATCTTAGGTAGCGTGGCTGATGAGATGACCAGGTCAATGGCCGCCAGCATGGAGAGGAAGATATACATTGGCTTATGGAGACTGGCTTCTACCTTGATGACCAGCAAGATGATGCTGTTCCCCAAGAGGGTAACGAGGTACATAGAAAAGAGGGGGATGGAAAGCCAGTGGTGGGTGGCTTCCAGGCCCGGGATGCCCAGCAGGATGAAGGAGGAGTGGGTGATGTTCTGCAGGAACATGGTGCTGCTCTTCCACCATCGTAGAAGAAGACACTCCCTAAAGGAGAGAAAAACGCCCAGCAGAGTTCCGAGAAGCCCCAGACTCAAGCAGGCAGAGAAAGTGAGTGTCTGTGGGGGTTGGCCACCGAAAAGGTCTGCCCCCCGCCTACTCCCCTGATTTTTGCTCTGACAACGGAGCTCTGCTGGGAAATGAGAAGGACTGGCTGGGCAGCCTAGAAAGGGCACTGAGCCCATCACCTCCTTGGCAGATGGGCCAAAAGCTCGATTTGAGGCAGCTCAGGCGAAGTTTATTTATTTATTATTTCAATTTATATATCCGCCCATCTTGAATATATGACCCTGGGTGGCTCACGACAATGTAAAAACAATATAAGAAACAAAAACGACACAAAAGCAAGGGTTTAAAAGGCAGTATAAAATAGTATGAAAGCCATACGACAAAATCCACAGCTGGGGTCTTCGGACACCCTTCAACAGCCATCAACGCAGCCACTGCACGGGCACCACCACACTCCTGGCAGTCGCTGGCAGAGGCCAGTTTCTTGACTCCAAGTGCGCTCCCTGCCACACTTCCTGCCCGCTCATTCCAAGCATGAACGCAGTCAGTCGTTTGCCAAAAGGCCCTCTGCTCCAGAACCAAACCCAACAGGAAAATTGCCTGCTGGAGCCCTGCACACCAACCTGGGGGCCGCCAGGTGTGTTGGGCCCAAACACTTATCATCCCAGCCAGCAAAACTCACACTTTGTGGTCCAACCCTTTCAAAGAGCAACAGCCCGGGGCTCACATGCTGTGTGTTTTATCGAATCAGCTGCCAACGTCCCATTCCCCTTAAGGACGGGGAATTGGCCTCTCTGCTTCTCATCGTAGCGATATTGGGAGCCCACAGAGGTGGTTTTCTTGCACTTGCATTGGCCACGTGGGCACGGCACGCTCACAGTCTGCCTTTCTACCTTTCAGTCTCCTAACCTGTTGCTTCTCCCGTCAGAGAAACTCTTTTCTTTCCTAGAGTGGAATTTGCAGGATCCCTGAAATCTCTAGCGTGGCAGATACACGGTTTAGGCTGCTGGTTCTCTATGTTTTCTGGGGAAACACACAAAGATCTGCCACGCTGGGCGTCCCCACTCTAAACCAAGGTCTTCTGCCATGCCATAGCCAGAGACTGGAGCCCCGGTGTGTCCTGTCTGCCACCCATCTCCCACAGCCATCCTTTCCCTGCCATGTTCGCCACGTTCCTCTTAACACTCAGACAGATTTGAGGTTAGAAAACAGCCATCCAATGGGTCCCCCACCCCACCACTCCCCCCTTGGATCACCCACCTCACTTGGAGTGAATGTCGCAGGAAGAGAAACGTTTCCAGACCACTCTTGTGTGCGCGTTTGCTTCCCACAGATACAGATGCCTACATACCCCCATCCCTGACCCCAATTTCTGAGCAGATGATTTGGAGGTCACATTTAGTTACAGCCAACCTGACTGCTCAACCGAGCCGTGGCACCCAGAAGTAGCTGCTGTGGCCTCTCTGCCACCCAAGTTCCAACTCTGCTGCTGCTCGCTGAAAGGCCAGGACAGGTAAATAAGGGCTCATCTGGAAGGCCTCTGGTGATTTCAGTCACTCCCTGAAGGAGTGACTGAAATCCAGAAAGGGGGAGGAATGGTCTCTGCCACCAGGTGTGGCTGAAATCCGCTGGGGCTTTGAAATTAGCTGGAACACAAACGTCTTCACAATTTCTGGCCAAGCGGTAGAAGGGGGGGGGGGGGCTCTCTTTCAGCCAGGGGTGGGGTTGCTATCCCCTCTCCAGCATCAGAACAAGGTTCAGCTCCCAGCTTGTTGGCTTCTGTAGCCAAGCCAAGAAGTCAAACGTTCATGTCTCAACCATAGCTTAAAGGAGAGAGAAATATAACAACAGATTACAGAAAAGGCAAAATGATTACATGAAAGAATGTGCTTGCAATGTCTATCGACTGGGCTGATATATTCAAATGCTGAGAGAATGAGAAAATCCTGGGCGGCTTCTGGGTTATGGTCAAGGAACATCTTTTATGCAGAGACTTGAGCAATTGATAGTCAGATGTCATGTTCATCTCTCTAATATTTAGAGACAAATTAAGAACGTAAGACATAAGCTGTGCCCTGCTGGATCGGATCCCTGGCCCATCTTGTCCAGCAGCCTGTTCTCCACTGGCCCACCAACTTCATGCGGAAGCCCATCTGTCTGCCAGCAGAGGCCCTTCAGAGGCAGCCCCACCGCCATCCAGGCTGAGAGCCACCGATCCCCAGGACTTCCACGAATCGTTCCAACCCTTTTTAAAGCCAGCCCAGCTGGTAGCCAGCACTACATCTCATGGTAGCAAAATCCAAAGTTGAATTACAAGTTGTATATTAAAAAAATCATTTTGTCTCTCCTGATTCTTCCAGGATTCAGTTTCATTGGGTGACCTCTGGTCCAAGTTTTTTGGGAAGAGAAAAAGACCTCCTCCTTCTCCCTGTGATGGAAAAATAATAAAATAAAGTTAGAAACTCTCCCCCCTCCCCCTTGCCTCTCCTGCAGCAAACTCTTTACTCCTCCCTCCCCCCTGCTTCTCTTTCTGCCCCCCTCCCTCCCGCCTCCCCCTCAAACTCTTTTTCCCACCTTCCTTTTCCCTTCTTTTCTCCAGCAAAAAAAGGTCAGACCCAGGCTATTTCATGAACCAAGAAGGA